ATATCGTTATCGCCTGAAATGAAAAAAACATATAGTGATATGAAAAAATCTTATATCGCCCAGCTCTAGTTAGCCTAAATATTTAGTTTTCTGTAACATTTAGATTTAACATTTAACATTTCGATTTAACATTTACCATTTAGATTTAAATATAACATTTAGATTTAATATTTAACATTTAGATTTAATATTTAACATTTAGATTTAATATTTAACATTTGATGAAAAGTTACAAATATTTTACTAAATGTTGTAAAAAATTACTCGAAAAAACATGTTTTTGTAAGGTTTTGAGCTAAATGTGGAAAAATGTTGCCGTTAATTTCAGCATGTTTCCCTTTACAAACTGCGCCCCATAAAATCTCATATAAATCATTTCTACAACCACCAAACACAACAAAAACAAGCCACGATTAAACGAGCAGTTATGTAAAACGTGCTAAATGTCCGCTAAACAAACAAAACCAAACCAGAAGTTCTTCAGACTTCATGTAACCGCTAAAGAAAGGCTAGTTATTTTCCAGAGCTATCACCAATTCCAAACACCAAGTTTCACCACGGTCTGACCAGTGAAAGAGCCACAAAAGAAGACCACAAAAACACATAGCGGCACAAATGCGCTAAGACAGAAATTGGCTTACCATCCAATTTCCTTCATTATTTTTGCCAGTAGCCGGTAGCCTCGTGATTATCAGCAGTTACCACTGCGAAATAGCCCTGCCAGGGATATTTCTTCTTCTTCTTCTGTATAGCGTTTATTGGCGGTTGGCAAACAGCAAAATGGTGCATTATCACCACCAACTGGTGTGGAGTGTGGACCGAAATGACTAAATGACTAAATAAATAAATAAATAAAATTAAATATTCAAATTCTCCCGAACAAATGGGTCTGCCTTAAAAACCAAAATACAGCCTGATAACTTTCACTTATAGAGCTCACACGAATCAAACAAGTCCAACTTCACTTTCATATCGTCCAGCTTTTTGATCAGTTGTCTCCTTTCCATATCATACTTCTGACAATGCAATAAAACATGTTCTATTGTTTCCTGTTCCCTACTGCAGTCACACTCCCCTGTACAGTGTTTACCTATTAAAATAATGTGCTATTTAAGCCAGTGTGTCCAAATCTCAGTCAAGATATAATCGTCTCCTCTCTCCTGTTTCGTCCTGTACTTCTCATTTCCCCCACTTTCCTTTGGATGTTGTACAACCATCGCCCTTTCCTCTCCTCCTCCCATTGCTTTTGCCACCTTTCCTTCATTTTGTATCGTATTCTGCTCTTGAGCTCCGTCCTACTCACACTAATAACCATATCTACCATCGGTCTCCTTGTTGCGACTTTTGCTGTCCTATCTGCCATTTCATTTCCTTTAACTCCATGATGCGCTGGTACCCATAAGAATGTGACCACAAGCCCCATCATAACAAGTCTGAACAATGTTTGCTGGATCTCTATCAGAATGTCAGGTCTGCAGTCTGAGTGGCTGTCTTGCAAGCTGGCCAGTGATGAGCTCGAGTCTGAGCATACCACAAATCTTAGTGGTTTCGTTTCCTCAATCCACTGGACTGCTAACAATATGGAAACCATTTCACCTGTGTATACTGACAAATCGTCATTGATCCTTTTCCCCACCTTGATATTAAATTCAGGAAATATAAAGGCTATCCCACTTTGGTTGGCTGTATTCTTTGATGCATCTGTGTAGATTTTGACATAACTATAATACTGATTAATATATTCCTGCACTGTATGCGAATTTAAGATAACACCCCTCTCCTTGGTCTTTTTCTTTAACAATGTGAAATCTACTACTGCGTCAGGGAGCATCCATGGTGGTATTGTAGGCAACGGTATTATTTGACTTATGTTTATCTTGTCCAGATTAAGTTCAGCTGCTTTCTGTCCCACTGTCCACCCAAAGCTCTTCAATTGCGTTTTCTCTTTTTCTCACCATGGTTGAAAAACAGTTTTTGTCAGATGATTGTGACCATGTCCTTGTAAACTTGCCCAGTAATTCAATGTCAGTTGCTCTCTTCTTAATTGTAATGGCATTTCCCCCATTTCAACCTGTAGTGCTGTTGCAGATGTTGTTTTGAATGCACCTGAGCAAAGTCTTAACGCTTGATTTTGGATACTATCTAACTTACGAAGACTTGTTCTGGCAGGAGAATTATATACTATACACCCATAATCCAATACTGACCTAATCAGCCCAGTATATATAGCTTTTAAAGATTTCCTATCAGCCCCCCAGTCAGTTCCCATTAAGCACCTGATTACATTCAACACTTTCTTGCATCTGTCTATTATTTTCTGAATATGTATAGTCCATGTCACCCTTTCATCAAACCACAACCCCCAAAATTTAAATAGTTTTACCCTTTCCAATTCCCGTCCATATAATCTGACCCTGACGTCAACCCCACCTCTTTTTCTTGTAAAAACCATCAACTTAGTCTTATCAACTGAGAATTTAAACCCCCATTTATATGACCACTGTTCTATTTCTGCGATTGCCCCCTGTACTTTCTTCACCAAAAAGTCTAACCATCGTCCCCTTGCCCACATTGCCCCATCGTCTGCAAAAAGTGAAAACCCCATTCCACCCTCTATGTTCCTAAACACATCATTAATCAGCAGTGAAAACAATAGCGGGCTAACTGTGCTTCCTTGTGGCGTTCCATTTTCTATTGGCAAACTCTCTGAATAACTCCTCCCAATCCTTACTATTATTCGTCGGCCTTCCAACAAATCCTTAAACCATCTGAACATTCAACCATTTATACCCATTTCCCTCATTTTTATCAATAGACCTTCCCTCCACATCATATCATATGCTTTCTCTATATCAAAAAAGACCGCCAGCACACTTAGATTTGGATGTCTCGAGACTGGTCTTGGTCTCGACCACTTTTACGTGGTCTTGGTCTCGACGTACTGTTGTCTTGGTCTTGTCTTGATCTCGACGGACTTTGGTCTCGGTCTTGGTCTCGCTGTCTCGGTCTTGCTGTCTCAGATCAACATAGTGGTCGGGAGATTTGGAGTCAACAGTATCCATGACACACAGCATAACGTTCGATAATGTATCATGCGCAAAAGCTTTAGCTCTAAGAGCCGTGCTTAGAGAGTGCTTTGTAATGAATCAGAATAGTCGACTCCCATTGAGCGAGAGCCGGCTCCTCAATTAATTTCCTTTCGCTGCTCAGCTGTCACACAGCGACACACAGTGGCTCAGCCATGCTCAAATCCCTCCACATTGTGGCATTTTATTATTTCGCCTTTCACGCCCTTCAAACACAACTAAATGCAACCCGTTAGATTGAGCAGTATGCCCGGTCAGTAAGTTACAGAAATGTCAGCGACTTCGTCTGTCATAAAGTTTGCGTTCATAGAACACAAAGAGTTTTTGGTAAATGCAAAAAAGAAGCATTCGGCAAAGTGCAGGTTTTGCAAAGTCTCCTTGACCGAGACAGCCGGGACTACCTCAACCTTCACCAGGCACCTGGAGCGCAAACACCCTCAAAGGTAAGCTAGCCAGTAGCCGTCTATCCATCTTCTAACTCTTCTAACTACCTTTCCAACCTCAGATGACCAGGTCATGTTTATGTAATATTGTTATTTATAATGTGTTCTTCAAACATTATAAATTATGTAGGGACAGTTTTTTTGCAACCGTCCCTGCAGACTTAACTTTAACTTAACATTACGTTACATGCTATGTACAGGTAGCTAGCGCTAGCAGTGGCTATCAGCTACTTAAACAATTTTCACTAACTTTAGGTATTTTGGTGAATTCATTGAGCAGAAATATATTGAAACCATTTCAGTGAGCACTTTAAGGGCTGGTATGATGTGGTTTGTTGTCGACTTTAATGGGCATATTTATGTGGTTGCTGACTAGAGTTGGATGTCTCAAGACCGGTCTTGGTCTCGAGACTTTTACGTGGTCTCGGTCTCGTCTTGGTCTCGACGGACTTTTGTCTTGGTCTTGTCTTGGTCTCGATACCCTCTGGTCTTGGCCTTGTCTTGGTCTTGGATTAGGCGGTCTTGACTACAAGTCTAAGCACACTCTCCTTATTCACTTGTGCCTTCCTTATCTCATGTTCTAAACATAAAGCTGGATCCATTGTGCCCCTCCCACTCTGATACTGAGCCAAATATCCTTTCTTTTCTACATAGAACACTAATCTTTCATTTATCATTCTCTCCATTATTTTGCAGACGTTGGGTGTTAATGCTATTGGTCTGTAGTTTCCTGGTTTCGTATCTTCTTTCCCTGGTTTACGTATTGGTATTATCACTGCCTCCTTCCAGCTTGGTGGCAACTTCCCCAGGGCTATTTCCGTCAACAACCTCCATTTTAGACCCACCTACAGACATGTGACTGGACAGGCGCCAAATGCAGTAAATTTGGTCCCATGTGGGTTTTGCCCCTGCAACTTCTGAACATGGCATCATTACTGTGATCCTATTGGCTCAAACAATTAAAAAGGAGTGTCAATCATGCAAATTGGCCAAAAGAAACCAAAGTTACAGCCCCTCAGATTTTAAAGGGCCAGAGGCCAATTAAACTCTCCATGCACATGGCAGAAAAGGCCCTTTGCCATGTAAATGCGTGGTTAATTATTCAAAAATATATATTGAAAAAGCAAGCATTTTTAGGCCTCTTAGTAAAATTAATTAATTTCTGCTCTTTAATACCTAAAGAATTCAACTGACATAGTGTCCAATGTGTGCCAAAATTTGACATTTTTATACAACGTCTGGATATTCATGTATTGACAGTGCTGTAATTTTTCACTGCTTCACTTTAGAAACATAAATCTTTGCACAGATTATGTTTATATGTTGGTTACTGAATTTCTGGAATTAAATGTGATTTGAGGCATATTTTTTAAAAGGGTTATATGCTAAAAAATAAATAAAAAAATTAGGCGAGGATAAGATCTACTTACTTTTTCTGTGTTCAGTCCCAGTAACTTTGACACAGTAATATCTGCTGCAATATTTATACCTCTGATGAAATTTCACAAGTGTTAGCTTTATTTTGATACCAAGATTGTATACACAGAGTCTGTATTTGCAGAGAAATAATCAATTAATTTTGGGCATTTCATTTTCGAGCAGGAAGCTCAGAAACCTCTTTGGGGCTTAAGAGGTTTTAAAGTTTTTTGGACCTCAGGGATACCACTGACCTGGGGGTGACTCAAATATGTACAGCCAGCATTTAAAGTGCTGTTAAAACAGAAGCATGGTGCTTATAAACCTCACATTAGCAAATTAGTTGGATGGGGTCCAATAGGTTGGCAGCTGGTGCTGTAATGGTTGGCACTGTTGTATTGAAGTCCTGTGGCCTTTCCTGCGTGCAGTTTGCATGTTCTCCCTTTGACTTTATGATTCTCAATGCTTCCTCCCATAATCCAAAGACAAGTATATTAGGTTGATTGGAATGTGACCCTGAAATGTTGTCTTTTTTTTAACAGTTACAAATTTTCCAAGGTGTAGTCTGCTTTTTCCACTATGACAGCCTACAGGCTCCAGATACCCTGAACTGACAAGCGGTTAAGAAAACGCATGGATGCTACGATTATGAAGCTTTAGTTATAAAGTAATGATACAGCTATTTTAAATATAGTGATGGTTAACATGACTGATGCAGTGTATGAACATTAATTTACATTTTACAGTCAGCTGAGAGACTCCATGAATTAAGCGTGTTGTGAGGAATTAACATGTTTTGTGTGTGTCTTTTCATTTATTTGCACATGTGTTTGTGATGCCACATTAAACTGCCTACCAGCTGTGATCTAACCTTCTAGGCGTGGAGAACAAAATACTAACAGGGGAACCTTTAAATTTTACATCTGACAGAATTATAGATGTCCCCATGCTCAGATTTTTAGGCCAGAGACCACATCAAATAAATCTGAAAGCAAATACATAGATATTAATCTTTATAGAGGAAAGATCACACACATACAAGTAATGCGGTTTCACAATCCTTGGAGAACATTTGATATCGTAACGTTCTCAGTTTTAGGACTAAACAGACCCAACGCCTCTTGCACACACAATGATGACACCAGTTGACCGCAACACATTTATAGTGACCCATGCTGAGGACGAAGGTAGTGTGGAAACAGGTCCTCAATGTAATCGTCCAACAGTTCAAACATAAAAACAAGTCACTCCTCTGACATGCAACATTTAAGCATAGATATTTAAAAGATGAGCTTTTTGTTTTTACAGCAATACAGTAACAGTAAGACACATGAGAAAACATCTGTGGATATATACATTAACTTACATTATCAATAGCTCTGTTTTTATGAACAATATTTACAGAGTTACGGTAAAAGAACAAGTCCTCTTTCCCACCAAGTTGCCTAAAGTCACGTGCTTTAGTCACATTACAGCTGGTTGTCTTGTTTGGCTTTAGGGATTAATCATCTCAGGTCTACAGTAAGTGACTGACAAATATACAAATGAACTTGTCTGTACAGGGGCCACATGTGTAGGCAAATAAAAACATGAAGCTGAACTTCCTTCCTCATATCCAGGGATAAACTGATGGCTTATCACATTATGCTGATGTTGTTTATTACCTCATTACATCGGTTGAATGTTCTCCTCTGAGTTTCTGTAGCCTCAGCTGATCCTGATCAGTTTGACATGTAACAGAGTGTAACACTACTTAGCTGATAGATTTTTGCTGAATAAGGGACACCGTTACAGTCATATATGTTATTGGCAAGTTGTGGCATAATACTGTACAGCTATCGTATGAATGTCATGTTAGTAGACATATATCAACAAGGCAAACAGACAGACAGACGTGTTAACCATCTGTGCTAACAAGAAGCATTTTAGCAACTGATAAGCGTCATGGAGAGCAAGATCACGACACCTGATTTCACCTCCAAATCATTCATCGCTCAGATGCATATAAATATAGTGTCACAGCTCTGATTGCTCTCTGCTAAATCTTCTTAGTTTCTGGGTTTAGGAAACTCAGAAGTTCAGACAATTGATCCCTTGGAGGAGGACAGGTGGATGGACTGGATGCGAATAGCCAACGTTTTCTCCAAGTCTCGCAGGATGTCACAGGCGGGGCTGTCGGGTGGTGTGTCATACAGCAGCTGTTTGAAGGGCTCCAACTCAATCAGGATTACCATATTCTTCAGAAAGTAACCCTCTATATAGGATGCTAGATCTGGAGCATCGAGAAACTGAAGGACAGGGAGAATATATATATCAACTTTTTCAGAATATCACTGATTTTACGTCACTTGAGCACCACTGCAACACCTCAAAATGCTTCACAGCACAGTATTAATTTTTTACCTTGGTGTGATTGTAGATCTCAACACAAGTGTCTGTGTTGATGTTCTTAGAGCAGATAATCTCACAATGCCTTTGCAGCGCCTCCAACTGGAAAAACTTTGCTGCTGACAGAAGCTGAAAAAACAACAACAAAACAGCTCAAAATTCAAGTTCAAATTGTAGTTTTTTTATTTAACTAAAAAGAAATGATGATAGACATGTTTATGATCCGTTACTCAAGACACTAATGATCTAACCTCCATAACATCAGTGTTCCTGATGTGCAGAGCTTCTGTCCCTCCACAGTACAGATACTGCATGACAAGCTGATAAGATAAGATCCATAATTTACAGAGTGCACATAGAAAAGAAAACACAACATATATATTTAAAGGAACATGTGGCTAACATTTACTTAAAATGTCTGCCTTATCAAAACATAATAACACTACCTGAAATATTTGAAATTTGACATTGCTGATTTCAATGCATGTGTTTTCACCACATGGTCTGTTAGCTAGAAGAGTTTTGAATCTGTAGAGAATGATAAAGAGAAAAAGGAGAGAAATATCACGGGTTGGTTAACTTGGTCATGTTTTAAGAACTCACTGAATGGAAATAAACACTACTAACATACAACAGCAGGGAGAATACACAAGAGTGGAGACCAAATTAACTGCCATTCTATTACTTCTTTCTATTATATTGTAATTTGCCTTATGTGCCTTTACTTATACCCTACTTTGGTATAAATAAATAAAATAAAATAGAGTTAAAAATCCCTTCAAGATTACAGAAGAAGAAAAAAAGACCAGAGATTCACCTGATAAAGTTCAAAACATCAGAACTTACAAACACATTAAATCAAAAGTATTTTGCTATATTAAAAACAATTCAGAGTTGGGGTAATCGTATTTAGCAGGACCTTAGGGTTACAAAATATACTGTGTAAACATTCAACATGTGCATTTTAAAGGCAGAGGTTTAAATACCTGTTGGAAGCTGTGAAAAGCAGAACTTTGTGGGCATAAAAAGGTTTCCCCTCCACCAAAAAGGTCACATCAGACATTTCTTTATTGTTCAGGAAGTGGGGATCTGAAAGACACATGACCAGAAAAACTTTATGTTTTTCTGATTTTCATAAAAAGAGCAAATGGAGTGTTCAACCTAGCCTTGTCACTCGTTCTACACCCAGTTCAGCTCCATGCAGTTGATTGTATTAATAATAATAATAATACATTTTATTTGAGGGCGCCTTTCAGAAACCCAAGGTCACCTTATAAAAAACACAATTGATAAAAGGAACAGTAGTCATAAAATACATAAAATAAGTTAAAATTACAAAACAGAGCGTGACAACAGATAAAATCAGCATTAAAGCGAATAAGCCAGTTTAAACAGATGTGTTTTGAGCTGTGTCTTAAATACGGAGAGGGAGTCAATATTTCTTAGTGCAGGAGGAAGAGAGTTCCAGAGCCGAGGAGCAGAGCGACTGAAAGCTCTGTTCCCCATAGTAATAAGCAGTGTTGGTCAAGTTACTTGAAAAAAGTAATCAGTAACTAATTACTGATTACTTCCCCAAAAAAGTAATCCCTTTACTTTACTGATTACTTATTTTCAAAAGTAATTAATTACTTAGTTACTTAGTTACTTTTTTAAAAACACGATTTACAACTTGAATTGGTGATAAAGCGATAGATCTTTCAGCCCAATTCTACTTTTTCTACATAATCCATCATACAAAATGTAATCAAATGGAAAAGTCTCTTTTTAAAACTTGTTTTATTAATTTTAATGTTTTAACTTTATGCATCAAGCAAAACATTTAATTATATGCAACATTCTCTGACTGGAAGAAATTTGTTTAACATTTAAACCTATTTTCTGCACATTCCAGCACATAAAATAAATTTTTTTTGTGTTTACACTCAGCTCTTTCAAATAGATGCAAGTAAAACACAGCAGAAAATAAATAAAGTCAAAGACTCAGCGGTCCTGTTGCTCTATTTTCACCTGTAAAGCAGGAGTGGGTAGGCGGAGGTTTACCCTGGTGCAGGTGTGCCGCGGTCAGTGGAAGAATCTGCGAGTTTCTCTGTGAGTTTCCCATTACGTCGTAGCTGCACTCGGTGCTTGCTTGGAAGTTTAGGGTTTTTTTCGCTGTAAAAAGAAGTTTTCTTCCCACGCACAGCGGACACTAATGTTTTTGTCACTTTTTATGGAATCAAACTCAAAGTAAGGTCAGTACTTCCACGCTTTAAACGCTGCACGCTCATACTCTCTCCCGCACTCGATATGTGATCCATTGTTGATCTGCACACAGCTGTTGTCACCAACGGCGCACTCGCTTATGTCACTGTCATGAGACATTCTCGCAAAAAAAATCATGGTTTTAGTAACGCAGTAACGCAGCGTTCCTACGGGAAAGTAACGGTAATCTAATTACCGTTTTTTGCAATAGTAATCCCTTACTTTACTCGTTACTTGAAAAAAGTAATCGGATTACAGTAACGCATTACTGCCCATCTCTGGTAATAAGGTGTGAGGACGGAACGGTAAGATGAATAGCAGATGATGATCTGAGAGGGCGGGAAACAGTGGTGATATGGAGCAGGTCACACAAATATGAAGGAGCAGATTTATGGATACATTTGAACGTGAGAAGTAAGATTTTAAAGTTTATCCTGGCTTCTATGGGCAACCAGTGAAGCTGCTGAAGAACTGGGGTAATATGAGCTCTTAACGGAGTGAAAGTTATGACCCGAGCTGCAGAATTTTGAAGAAGTTGGAGTTTATGAACTCCAACTTCTTCAAAATTCTGCAGCTCGGAATTTTGACCTGAAAAGTTCTATTCCAGTTTCTGAACACTAGATGGTGTCATGCACACTTTCTAATCTGCATTTACTAGTAAGGGCAGACTAAAAAAGACAAGACAAATGATTCTGATGCTCCTGCTGCGTGCCTGTATGTATGTGAATACACTTTAATAATTAAATGAAATGATGAAGAAATATGCTCACCCAAACGTGATGACTGCTTCTTCTTGATCTCTGCCAGTTTGGGGATGGGGTAAGGGCCGTAACACTGAGTGAAGATCGCAGCCAGCTGCTGGCTGATCACTTCATTCTGACAAAACACAGACAGAGTGACAGAAGAGGGTAAGCAGAGCTCACCTTGGATGCATCATGCTAAGCCAGCATCCAGGAGTCTATGTTATGTAAGAGCATAAGCACATACTGCACGGCGCGCCTCTCCCACACAAACAGCCCCGACGCAAATACCAAGAGAGGTTAAACTTCTGCAGCCTTACCAGGCTTAGCATCCACTTCATTCAAGCAGTCGTTCCAGTAAAACTTGTATTTATGGATATTTCACACATTACAAGGGGATCAGATAGATATCAGACTTATTTTTCACACCCACACGTCCTTAGAGCTTGCTGTGGTGGGAAATACAGCGACAGGCTGAGCTACTGTAGGAGTGAGATTAAGAGGAAAAGACAGGAGATTTTCTTACCCTTCTAAACTTTTCACTTGTGTGTGTGCAGAGGCAAAGTGAAGGTAAGGCACGCTACAGCACAAGCCTCATGTGTGCAGTCATCCTGCTTGAATGCAACAAACTTCTAACAAATAAGTATTTCTGCATTGTCTTCAAAATTTTCTATGCTGACAAGAGAGATATACAGATATACATTTAATCAACGTTATCTAAAATGAACTAAACACTAAGAGGCTGAATGAATGCTTCAGAGGAACATGGCAACAGAGTGTCTGGTTCAGAAAAGACAAACGGCCTGTACCTTGATGTCTGCGGACCTCAAGGTGATGCAAGCAGAGCCTCTCTCAGAGATGAGGGCCAGTGGCCCGAGCCATACATCAACCAAGACAGAAACAAGGACTGACACTGCAGCAATCCAGCGAAGCATAGCATGTTTGGAGTGTACGAGTATGTGCGTGTTTGCATGTGAGAGAGGTATGCTGCTGGTATCAGACCCATGCACGTGAGTCTCTGTGGCTCTGCTTGTGTATTTCATTTATATGAGTGTATGCACACTCACACTCTGAAACTGTGCAGTGTTTTTTTCTCATATCAGCAATGACAGCTAACCTATCATGCCATCAGGGCATTATCAAGCTTAAGTCACAGTAGACAAAGCTAAGATGAGTGCCAGGACAAGGACAACAATGAGCTGGGTGAACTCTAACATTGCCTACCAAGGGATCCTAAGCTGAAGTAATGAGACGAGGGCCTAATATGATAAACTGCAACAGAGAGGAACGGGCGTCTATCAGAAATCATTATCATTTTACGTAATAGATATTGAGTAAGCCACTGGGGCTCTGTCGGTCACTGTGAAGCTGATGACCTGACTATGTAATAGCATTACTACAAAAAAAGAGGAGGACATGACTGTGGTTTAGTGAAAAGCAGACACTTAAGAGGATGGAGACTACAGTGTAGCTCTGAAGAAAATGTTCTTACTTTTACGGTAATGATCCAATATGTCGTGACACTTGCCTGTGTTTTATGTTAACAGGAAACACACACAGGGCAGTACCTTGCTGGCTCTGAGGATCTGGAACATAAGAGGCAGGCCATGCGTAATGAGCTCCTCGGTGTACTCCTCTTCCTCAATGCAGCTGAACTCTTTCAGAAGACCCTGGATCAGAGGTCGGCGGTGCTGATGGAAGCATGTGCGCAGAGACTCCAGCCAAGTGTGCAAAGTCCATGGGACTCCTAAGTTTCACAAGTACACCAATATGAAATACATTTCATACAATATAAGATACTGTAGAAGTCGCATGCATGCATTTCCAGAAAACCCACCAAGACTCCGTATATCTATGGTGATGTCTACATGCCCATGTTCAGCACTGTGGTACATGGCTTCCTTCAGAGCTTTAAGTTTGGCTTTTCCAGTTCTGATCAGATCCATCTGAGACATGCTTCTGCCTTCCAGCTCTGAGCCTTCTGCGAGAATCTCTTCCAATGACAAGACATCTCCTTTCCCTTTTTCTGTGTGGGACAACAGCTTGCGAAACACATTTCTACAAATCAAAAAAAGCAAAAGAACAAAAGCAGAGAAAAAAACTGCGATTAGACTGAACGGATTTCAGGACTCTATTTGACTGATTTTTTTTTACCAAAAATAAGTTTGCATCTCTGGCCCTGAATCAGAAGTGGGCTAGATTTTTTTATTTAAATGGAAGGACTTAAACATGATATGATAGTAATTGGGGGTCGTTACTGTTGTAGTCTGCTGGCAAGTTAAAATAAATCAATGGAAATAGCTGCATTTTGATGAATGGGAGAACGAGTCCATAAGAAGAAACAAAAACCCAGAGGGTTTATACAAAGAGCTTTATATTTGTGGCATGTAAAGTATACTATATTCAGTGGTAAACAGCAATTACACACATGGGCTTTTATACAATTTCATGCAAAATATAAATAAAGATGCTTTTAGTTTTAAAATCCCAAAATACAGCTGTCTAGCCTGAAAAATAACTAGCAAAAATCAAAAACAAACAAAAAAACTGCTGGTTTTGACATAATGCTATATTTTACAGGTCTATATTTCAGAATGATTTCCACCTACTTTGCAAGAACAACCACATAATTTGACACAAAATGAAGTGGAAACATATCATTCAAATGGAAAATTCTCTGCTAATTACAATTTTTGCTTACTGGCAGCAAGAAAGACAAAGACACAAAAACAGAGACCGTTTATACAGATAAGCTTGTAAAGCAAAGTACTAACAGAAACTATTCTGGATCGATTATTAAAAGACAATACAGTATTGTACAGAGTACACTGTTTGCAGTGTAACCCTGTCAGTTTTGCCATTTTGTTAAGCCAAACTTTTAAAATAGTTTTGGAGAGTTTTAAGTCTTAACAATACTTTGAAAACAACAGAAAGACAACAGGAGGTTACTCATGCAGGAAACTGAAGACCTGTGGTGCTAATTTTACAGACGTCCTCTAAGGAAGTTGTGTTTGTACATAAATAAGAGTACACAGTGCTTGTATGTTTGCTGTTGAAGGGAACATGAATGCATTCGTCACCTACCTGTGCCCATGTGCTGCTGCCAGGCTATAGGAGTTCATATCGCCTTGTGGTGCAGTAGAAATTCCATTGCGGTACATAGTTCCCACCATGGGGTCAGCGCCTCGCTCCAGCAGCAAACTCACCAGCTCAAAGTTACCTGCACATGAAAAATGACTGGCTCAGTTAAACACGCACACACACACGGAAATAATAAGATTAAACGAAAATGAGACCGAGAGAAAGATGAGAGAGAAGCACACGTTTCATCATTTGTTCCACATTCATGGCTCTATTTGTCTTTATTCTTCCAGCCCCCAGGAGAAACAAGCTTCTAAACTTGGAATTCAGCCACTGATCATGCTGACACTCAGGTGTTGTTATCAGCTGAGTATAGATGGCCAGCTGCTGCTGACAGCATGGTGTGATACAGTTGGGCAGGAAGATGGGAGTCCTGCTGTGTCTTAGTACCTGCAGCAGCAGCCAGCTGCAGCGGTGTCTCCGTGTAGTTCTCCATCCCATCCTGCAGGGAGCCTTCCACGTTGGCTTTTGCATCCAGCAGCAGCTGCAGGTGAGGATGCAGGTGAGCATGATTGACAAAGAGAGAGAGACAAAGAAGAAGACAAGAGAGCAGAGTGAGGGGAAGAGGAAGAGTCATTTGCTAATGAGTCTAATTTGATGTCAGGATGGTTAGTTTAAAACTGGCTAGTTTAAAACACAGCCTATTATTTTATCTCTTTAAAACAGAAGTGCTACTTTTGGAGAAATAAACTAAATAGATGAAAGTCAAATGTATGAATGTCAATTTTTGCCAACTTTAAGTTTAGTTTTCTTTTTGTCTGCTTTGTTTTTAAAAAAATGCATTTTACAAGTCCCATATACAGTAGTGTTGTTGGCTATTAAATGTTAAAGGTAGCTAATTTTCCATTAGTTTCTTTATTTTCACATTACAAAATTGTACATATATATATATATATATATATATATATATATATATATATATATATATATATATAGATAGATAGATAGATAGATAGATAGATAGATAGATAGATATATAAATATATAAATGTAATAGGAAGCGAAACCACAACCAAAAAAGCTGGAAAAACTCAATTACAGACAATCCAGGAACTGAATCCTTTTTTTCTTGAATATTTTAAATACATACAGACAATGTTTCCACACCTAAAGACATGTTCTTAACTTTACCGTATGTAGGCTGTTTCAGCGATATAAAAGAAAGCTGGCTGCTGCAGCAAAATCTGTTACTGTCGGCCCAAATTCTGCTTTAGCAAGCTCTGAAGGCTTGAAAGATTTAGCGCCTGGCACATACACTTATGGGATGCTGTTATAGGTTCTTTGAGGCACTCTTCAAGAGTCTTTCAGTACCTCTTTCCCAAAAACCAGAGAACACACAGAAATGTGCAAGTTGCCTGTTATATTTCTAGCCATTTTAAGATGTGTATGATTATAATAAGAATTGAACCAGCCTACATTCAGGACCCTTTCAGGCCAGTCCAGTTTAACTTTACTTTATCAACATTCAGATAATTCACCTGTACTATACTTCTAGGAAGACTTATTTTCAGCGAAAGTAAACTGCTCTTCAAGTTCTTCATATAAACAGATCCTATCAGAAATAAACAGAAGACTTAAAATGACACTGACTGCAGGATATTTGATGATAATAAATCAATTTCATTAAAATTGTTCATTTATTTATTTATTTTTAATGAGATAATGATCTAGACCATCTCCTTAATGAAAGATATTTCATGAATTTGTTACATTTTAATGGTAATACTTTCTATGACTTTACACCAAATTGACTCTTTTTTAACTGCAGGGTTTCAGTTTTCTGATGCCCTCAAAGACAAAACTGTAGCACTACCAAAACATTTTCCGCTGGACTTTAATGATTCAAAATCAGATCCCTCAGAGGGCAAACAGAAATAGTTAAATGAGTTCGATAACAATTAGGCTGCTGTGTTTCCATTTTCCACTTGCTAAACTCAGTTTGATCCATTTGCTCAAAAGTGCAAATTGACTGGAGGTAGCCATGTGCTGACCTAAAGCATGGCTGCACAATTGCCCTCTTTAAATGTATAAAGCTCATGTTGTATATATTTAGCAACTAGGTCATTTTCACAAATGGAAAATAAAGAGAGAAAGAGAGAGAGAGAGGAGAAAACTCTTAGTGGAGAGCCGTCATCATCACCACTGAGAAGCTTTGATGACAGAAATGGCAATGATGACCAACCATGAGCTGAAGCACAACAAAAGGTCACGATGAGAGAATCACAGGTGAGAAAGAATGTCACTACCTGCACCACAGGCACATGTCCGTGTAACACAGCGAAAGTGAGGGGCGTCGCCTGCCGTGTTTCGGGAAAGACTGAGGGGTGCTTGTGCACTGAGTTTGGCACCTGGGGAAGGGACACAGGTAGGTGGGTTGGGTAGGTAGGAGGGACAAAGGTGAGGGAGAGAGATACGAAGCCATTAAATCTACTGCATGGCCTACGAGGCACAAGACAAGCAGCTGAAGGGAGGGGAGAAGGGGAGAGAGCAAGCTCTACAGGAGAAACTAGAGTAATTAACCAGGAATCATGGGGCTGCAGAGGACATCCCGCCACTGTGTTTGCCTCCTAATGAACACGATGAATTGATCTGTCTAGTTAGGCCTTGTCCTAATGGTTCCACCCTCACTTTTCACCCTCTGCTTTGGCTTTTTCTGACAGCGCTCTGAATTGACCTCTCCCAGGCTCAGCTCGTTGGCCAGGTTTAAAAACTAAAAATGTGACATACACGAGACACAGGAGCATGAACAAAGCACAAAGGGACATGTTTTTACTTAGACTGCTCTGGGAGAAAACGAGGCTGGGATGTCCATTAGATTTTATGAATTGGTACTTAATAGTGTCATGTTGTTGTATGAATCAGGTACCAGCTGAATACAGAAGAGTATACAGGGGAAATACACGTGAGGGGGGCATGTGAAGTGCAATGAAACAATAATAGTATTTTTTATTACTTATTGTAGTTACTGTATATTGTGTAAGCTGGCCAAGGTTTTCCTCTGCAAGAGCTACAGTCTATGTCAGACTGAGAAGAGATTCTCTGTTGGAGCAATCTTACATAATAAGTGTCAAGAGCACAAGGTAATAGCACTTGAACCAACACTGAAGTCAATGTAGACTATATAGGCAAGCATTATGGAAATTCCCCTTAAGTATGACAGGTCCTTCATCCTTACATGAGTCCACCTGTCAGCACTTTGTCAACCCTTATCTTCTACATGTCCCTCGAGAACACCATCCTCTGAGTTTGGGGAGATCATCCCAAAGTTCCCATTTGCTATTTTGGCTTATTCAATATTCCATAATTAGTAAGTAATTATGGATCATTTTGGATCGGAAAATTATTAGTTCACTTAAACTTTTCCCACTACTGGAACCTGTAGTATTAGTCCGCAGGGTCTTTTTTTTTTTTTCTTATGTCATTTCCTATTTATCATTGGTACCCGATTCATGCAATGAAAGTACACGATAAATTTTGAAACAAAATTCATACATAATACATTTCTAAAAATGGAAATACACATGCCTGAAATGAATATTAAAGTGGGTCTTTAGGTTTTAGTCGTTGACAGTGCTTTGTGCTTTGGCCAGCTGTCATGAATGCAGTGGGCTGCAAATCAACTCTGACACAATAGCTGATGGGACATGTTGTTGCTGAAGTGACTAACGGAGATCAGGATCATGAGACCTCAACTGAATGACCTCGCTCATGTCTGCGCAGAGTCAAAGGATGCTGTCACGATTCTCTGCAGACTCTGTGAGGAATCCTGCTTGCTTTAAGTCAGCTGATCTCTATTTTTTCCCGGACATAGAAAAGAATGAGTCAGCAGGAAACCTCTGTGTCACGTTTCACACTCTAACTGCTGAAATGCAAATAGATTTCAGCGTATAAGAGCACAGCAGTGAGTGCCTCATGATCTTCACCTCTTGTACATTTAGCCGCACGACACATGGGAGAAAACGAGAGGAAATGACGGATGACATGTTTGGTTTTCTCCAATTTAAAGGAAAAATAAGTATACAAATACATTTGTTACATTAAAGTGTACCGTTATTTCAGTACTATTAATTTAAATTGTCTACATATAAAATGGGCATAAAGAGTGCTAATGTCTTCAGTTATACTAAGCAGCTCAATCTTATAATACAAAAAAGGTAAACGATATTTCTATTCTCTAATCAAAGCAGCCTGGTTCAGTTCTGCTGACTTCTGCTCAATGCCAAAAGCAGAACAGCAGACATAAACGTTTTCTTTCTTTCTTTTTAACCACTGACCTCGCTGTTAATATCTGCTCCTGCATCCAGCAGCATCTGCACCATGGCTTCATCTCCACGGACACAAGCGTACATCAGCGGGGTCATACCCTACACAAGTAGATGCACAGAGAACGAAAGCAGCTGCGATTTAATCTTTCATTTTCTTGAAACACTCAATGGCAAATCCTAAAAATTCGCTCCAGGACACCATTTTCAAGCACTTTTCTTGGGGAATGTCATGTTTCCTATCCCCCCACTGAGTAATGTGAACTTGAGTTATACCATTTGTTTTTAGCTACAGAACAAGGCTTAATGCTTGGTCTGCTTGTCTTCTCGACAGCTCAAATTCAGGGTAGAGTTCGATGGCAGCGATATTCTGCTTCTGATGAACATTTTAAAGGATACCACATGAATTAAGATCTCCTCTGGGCCATGTGGGACACTACCTGAGGCTGTCTGATGGACACATGCAGTACAGCCCTCTGTATGTGAAATCTTCTGCTAAGCTCAGCCCTGAACTGAATGTTGATTTTCCCAAGGAAAATCAGGAGCTACACTTGCAGTATTCCCCTGATGATTTACTGTACTTGAGGTGGAAGTCATGATATAGTGCAGAGCTCTAATGCAGGAAAATATATGTCAAAATAAGATTTAATATGCATAACTGCCTTTTAGCTCAAGAGTCAGCACTGTGCTCAGAAGCGGAGGAACCTCAGTTTACAAAACAAACAAAATAAACACTTCCACAGGCTGTGTGTGTGTGTTGATGTGTTCATGAGAACAAATGTGTCGGTATATGCATTATTAAATATGTTGACTGTGTTTCTAACCTGCTCACTCATGCTGTTGATACCATCCGGCCCTAGCAGGTTGACAGCCTGCTTTACCAGGTCTGTGCGTCCACAGCTGAGCATGCGGAAGCCCAAATCCTGCAGGAACTTTGCCTCAGAAGAGGCAGCATCCAGTTTCCGTGAGGCACAGAAGCAGTCATCCGTTCTGAAAAGCATAGCACACAAAGTGAGTGCAAGCTGACAAGTATTACTGTTTGCTACGTGCAGTGTTTTCCCTAAACACCTTGCAGGCTTTATTTCTTGACACTACAGGGAGGACGTGAAACACGCACATCTTTCCCTGCATGCATAATTGACATGTATGCGTGTATGCTTTTTGTGGGTTCAGATAAAGAAGTTGCCTGCACACATGTTCTGCAGCTCAAGCGCAAGCCCACTCACTCCCGGGCCTACCGAAGCTGGCGGGGCTCACAGTCCACTCCAGGCAGCAGCAGCCTGGCAGCCTGCCGCACATCATCGCTGTCCACAGTGAAGCTGCGTCTGTGCTCGGTGTGAACCACAGCTACACGCACCCACTCCATCAGAGGCGGCAAGATCAGAAATGGCCTATAGAGGGAGGTAGAAGCACACGTAGTTGCCACCATAAACACAGTGAAGTCACACTTGGTGTGCGCAGGCATTTCACTAAAATGGAATTTGCATGTTATTTTGTTGCCACTGTTAATTATTGAGAAAAAGATTAACTCACTTTGAAGACCCTAAATCAGAACATAAAAGAGGTGTTTAGATGTAGAGAGGTTGTAGACCATATAACTAAAAGAAAATGATCATTTTAAACTGCTCTGCTCTTGTTTAATGATCTAAAGTCTGTCATAATACCATAAAATACTGCCCCGCTGTTGCTTATTGTTTAATAGAACATAAACCCATATGCCACAATGCACCATATAAACCAACACAATGCACTGCAAATTGGGGATGATGCATTATAAGACTTATATGCCTTTAAAAGAATCGTGATGTCATAATGCTGCCAGGAATTACATGTGTCATCATTTTCACTTCACAAGATCAAGTACTGCAGTTCCTCCTCATGTTTTCCTATAATGCTCCGTGTAACGTATTTCAGTAATTATAAAAGATCATTATCAGTTAAGGTAAACTGATCGTGTGTTTGCTTCCTTGGAAATGTACAGTACTGCGGCGTTCAGACGGCAGCAGGTAACAACCATTATACATCATTCATCCTGTTCTCTGACAGAGAAGACTGAGAGAGCACGCAGGCGTTTAAAGCTGTATTTGCACAGAGCAAACAATCTAGGTTGCATTACCAACCAGGCAAACCCCCCATGGGCTCTCAAACAAGCTATGTTTACTACATATCATCTGGGCTTATGTAATTAGATTCATTTCAAATGAGTCTAGCTCCTTCATGCTCCATGTTGACCACAGCTGAGAAAAGAGAATCAAAACCCAGCGCCAGGACCACAAATGCTTCAGTTTATATTGAGCTCACCTTTATTAAAGTTGTCCTCTTTGCATGTAATCAGTAAACAGCACAGAGAAAACCTCAGGCGAGGTCGTATTATTATTCCACCATCACCCAAAGCCTGTAACTTTTTTTTTATTATCAATACATGTGGCAATCATTTTCATCTATAACAGCCTGATTGCTCAGCGTATAAAATGTCAGTAATAACAAGAGATGCCCATCATTAATCCCTGAAGCCGTGTTCTGGTTTTAATTATGTAAAATAGAAGAATTCAAAACCTCTACCTCTGGCCTTCTCTCCTCCACTCATCCTGCATCAGTGTTTACAACAGCCATATGGAATCCATATGAATGGAAATACATATACAATATGTGTGTTCACCTTTGTGACTGACTGATACAAAAGCAATCTTAAGTGAGTTGGTAATGCAAAACATAATGACACACCCATGTGCTTTATAACTACAGAAGAACAATGACTTTTCAAGACCTTATTATGTAATATAATAGGACAAAAGTCTGACACACGCTATTGGAATGCAAACAAAAATGTTTTTAAACAAACTGATATTTACTTTTTAAACCATGTATCATTTTAATTATATAACAGCATTTGGACGACAGTAGTAGCAATTTGTTTAGTTTCTTTTAAAAAAACTCTGTCAGATTATTTGACTGTTGCCAAATCCAGAAGCTGGTTATGTGTTTGTGTTTGTGTGCTCTTTGCGGATTTATTAATCAGTATGTCGCTTTACAAAGGATGTCTTAATGGCTGGGCTGCCCTTGACACACGCTGATTGCACAACTCTCTCATCTCTGCTACTTTAAGCTGACAGGAGGGTCACTCAATATTAGTTTGATATGCTTGTGTTTGTGTTTTACTCACTTCAAAGGAGCCTGACCTACAGCCACGTGACATTATTACTTCTGCAGACTTCATTAAAGCTCTGCACAACACCTAATCAAGAGTCAGGGAACGTATAATGCCAATGCATTCCTTCTCAAGCCCAATGGAAACTTTGGTTCACAAGCAGTTCAAGGTCGCCCTGTTTCCATGCAGTGCTCTTTAAAAGTGCAGACATTCTGCAAGGAAACAGTTGAAATCAGAGGGATTTCCTTAATGTTGGGTCCAGAATTGGATTTAAAATAACCTAAAAAAATATAATAACATGCGCTAAATATGATGTTGGTTACAAACGGTGGAGCTAAAGCAGACATAAGTTGGATATCTGGGACACACATTAACTGATAAATTGCTCCACGACAGGTGATGAAAGTCTGGACTGCTCAGGCTCAACTGTCAGCTCTGTATTCCACAGAGGTTTCTACCAAAGCAGAGGAAATACTGAACATGCAGCGAATAAATGTTTCATGAGTAGAAGTGGCAAAGAAAGTGAACACTGTGGGAACATGTATCCAAACACTATGGAAACACTGCCTAATTTTCATGCCACATGTGTCACCGTCAGAGTCCCACAGCTTCCTGAATATAAATTCCCAATAGGGCAGTGGTGGTAATTCTCAATGCAAGTCTGTTCACGGCTGCTCCAACTGCCCCTTCCTTCCACGACTCAGGTCACCCAGAGGGCTCGCTCAAGTAGCCAAGACGTTGACAATTCACTGTACTTTCCTTCCAGAGGAAAACATCTGGTCTGCCATTTCACGGCTTAGCACAGAGAGCCAGAAATACAATAATAAAGAAAAAAAACAGTCAGCAGAGGTGTACAGTTGCAGCAGAATGATCTCTGCAGAAGCAGCATCACCACTGGACTGTGTTATAAGGTGAGGAGGAGGAGGAAGAGACATGCAGAAGCTTTGATTGTGTCTAACCAAAGACAGTTTCCACTTTTTGTCCCAGTGACTTGTGGTGTGCCTTTATTATTACTACTAAACTAATAAATTGTAATATTTATGAGCTTTCCTGTTTCCTGTTTTACCTCCATAATGTAGTGCTTTATTTTTTTTGTAGACAAATAAAGGCTTAACATTGTGCTGCTCACCTGACTTGCTTTTCAGGTCTTGATGCAGGATGACTGAAACTGAATCTCAGTTCCATAGTTTGTTATAGCACATAGATTTTCAAATTAAGCTGACAACCTTTACAGGTATCGAGGAGATTGGGAATTTTGTGTATGTCCTTCTGATGAAGGTAAGACAAACATTCACTCAGTTTTCATCTTGATAAAGCGTCGATCGCAGGGCTCAAAAATAAATCTAATGTCAAGTGTAAAAAACTGCAGTCCCTTAAACAGCCACGGACAGAAATGAACAAAAGCAGAAGAAACTTTCCCTTTCATGACTCAATGAAGTGGAGGAATTTCCTATAATTTACCAATATTGTGATGCTTTGGGTGACAGGTGGGGGAACTCAGCATTTCTGGTGCTCTGTACTCTGGCAGGAGCTCTCAACCATCTGTGTGGTGCTGGTTTCTTTTCTTGCCAGTTATCATACAAACAATATGACTTTAAAATGGTAGCCCACAAACCAAAAGGTGAAATCAGTTCAGTTATAGCCCTCTTGTTCTATAAAATCTATGCTGTCTGCTCATTCTTGAGGTACAAATCTAGCAAACAGCTTGTAAACCTTCCCGTAGGTAAAGGCTTTGTGTGTTTTGACGCTGTAAAGACATGTTTAGACGTTTCTTTTCTTTTTAAAAAATAAAGGAAAACAAGCGCGAATAAGAAAAGCAGACTAACTGTTGTGGTTCACTGGCTCTGTGAGCCACCAGATGCAGTGATGCTCTGTTACTCTGACTTTTTTCTTTTACTGCTGAGTGTTGCTGATGAGAAATGTGGACGTGCATTTCCTTTATTTTGCGTGTTTGCTTCTAACCTCTCGGTTTGTAAGGTAACCTTGGAGGGTTCAACGTTGGGGTTTTCCCACTCCATCTGAGGGCAGTGCATGAAGTAGCACAGCGTGTAGATAGCTTCCGGTGCCCAGAGTATCACGCCGCTTTTCTGGTGCATTGGTGTCCCATTGTTGTGGTTCTTCATATACAGTGGCTGTAGGTGGTGCATAGCCCGTGACACCAAGTCACCTACACACATACACAGACAATACAAACAGGAAAACACAAAAGGAACACAGACAGTGAGAAACGAATTCACGGGTTCACTCAGTAGATGAGAGAGATGAGACCGAAATATTTTAAGCACATGGCCTTTAAAAAGACATCTGGGAATTATCTTTATTCCTCCCAGCCCCGTTGGAGCTCACTCTGTCAGGGGAAATCGAGAGTTTCCATGCACCACAATCAGGAAAAAGACAGGGTTCATCCCAGTTCTTTCTGTGCAGCTCACAGGAGGAGAGCGAGAGAAAAAGCATGCCCAGGACTGCAATGGATGAAGAATGAATATTTATGGATAAACATAGCTACTCCAAGCTATTTCCCCTGCATAATTTGTCAGTACTTTAAGGTCATCCAGTTGGGCTTCAAAACTCCAAACTCGAGAGGGTTTTGCTAATAAAAATCTGAACGTTCTCCTAGCTGGTTTAGAAAAAAAGTAAATAGTTCTTGGAAAAGTATGTTCAAGCCAGCTTTTTATGCCGTGGGGACCAGACAGATGGCCTTTTTGTAGAGCAAATTCAGTTAATCAGAAATCAAGAGCTGGCCTAGAAGTTTCTTTAACAGACAGCCCAATTCTTTCATGTGACTGTGGTTGGTTAGTTATTGAATGCTTACTTGAAAAACAACCCTGTTTTATTACAGCTGGACTCAAATCCCATTTTGCTGAATGCTGTCAGGTTACCGTCGCTTCTCCCTTCCTGTCTAGACCCACCGCGTGATGAGAAAATGTGATGAAATTGTGAAGCAGGGTCGCTCTTAAAAAAAAAGAAGGAAAGAAAGACACACTGTGACATATTGTCCTGGCCAGTTTGATAATGTTGAAGGCACAAAAGCAATAGAGCATGATGACACTTGGTTCCCTGTTTCCAATGGACTATATTGTATGTGTGACTATTCGATACAGAGAGGGAACAAACAGCCATTCTCATACACAAAAGGGTTTGTTTAGCATCAAAATTGCGCTATTTGGCGCTTGCCAAGACTCCATTTAGCCATGACAATGTGAGAGGCAAGTGTGAAAAGGATGCCTGAATGAGGGAGGAGCATTCATGCAATAAAACAATCAACTGTCCTTTGGGAACAGTGGCGCTGCACTGATAGAGAAATCATGTTGTGATTCAATGAGCAGGGAAAATTATGCCAGGAATGACCACCTCTTGTAGACTTTTAGCTTAAGCTTTGCTGTTCCAGTTACTCTCTGTTACTCCTTCTTTCTCTTAATTGTACCAATGGGAATACAGATAAGCTGGTAATAGTTCCCTTTGAAGTTCAGTAAGGGAGCCAAGGTGGTCAGCAGCAGGCAGTTTTCATGTCTTATTTATGCTGCTCTGTGACATTTCCTTTCCTGGCTGAGAAGGCTCACGAGGTTAAGAATGTAGATTATTTCAAAGCTGAAAAAGTCCAACAGTAGTGCAGCTTCACGTGAGATCACTGTAGCAGGTGTAGGTGCAGCACAAAGTGGTAAGATTTCTCTTTGGAAGGTCATTCAGAAGTGCGACAGTTTAATAAGCTAAAATGTCAATAGACTTTTAATTACAAGATCCAAGCTTTTAATCAATACCTCATCCTTGGTGATTAATTCTTTATACCAACAAGAAGAGGAGAGGTGGAGGACACACACAGCAGATCCTGCTTCTCAGGTTCTCAGTAATTACCTTTTAGCAGTGGGGTCATGCTCTCCATGTTTTCAGAGCTTTATAACCATCCTCGAATAGCAAAGTCACATAAATCGACCAGTTTACAGAGTATAATGGCACTGGTTTAAATTAGAAGGGGTTTTATGAGAGCTGGCTTAAGGTCAGTAAACAGCAATGCAGGACCCACATAACAAGCACCCTGCTCATTACTGCAGAGTCTGAAGGCAGTGTAATGTTCAACAGTGAGCGAGATAAATGTATTGAATTGAATTGAACTGATATACCTTTATTAGTCCCACGAGGGGAAATTTCATAAGGCTGCCGACCTATTGCACGCAATGGCGGCGCCATCTTACCCTGTGACCCTATGTGCGTGCGTGTCCAGAGTTCAGCTGAGACAGTGTCCTAGGCTAAGTAAACAGTCTTCCAGCCAACCCAGGTGGCCTTGCATGGAATGGGAAGGAACAGACTAAATGTAGAAATTCTCGCTGTGCAGCTGCTGCCATCATCACACGTTCTGTGTTTCAGTTATTTGCCACTACATCGTGATTATAACAGCCGCCTGTGGCCATCCTGCCTCAACAAGATGCTAAGCTATTCTTTTGCTATTAGTTTTGTCCATTTCACAACATCCAGAACTCTCAGGCACTCTCTGCCACACATAGCGGATAGCATGGAGGGCACAAACTGTCTGTTAGTGTAGTCGTGAGTGGAACTTCTACTCTTTAACTACCTCTGCTTTACTTTTGAGGGGCCATCACAGCACACAGTGTCCCCGAAGTAATCTGTGTGAGTCTGAACTCTGCCGTCTTTCAATCTAGTCAGGTTAGTTTGGACGAAATCCGAAAGTAACATTTCTTGCTGTTAGAGGACTTGAGAATTTTTAGTAAAGAAGGAAATATATATGCAGAGGTTTGACATACATAGTTGTAGATATAGAATAGCTTTGAGAGAAATGGTGAACAAGAGCTGAACCATCACACAGACGCTTATTAACCTCATTTGATATCATTCAGCATCGAGGCTGTAAAGACATAATTCGAAGTGTTGCGCTGACCACAGAGCAAAACACTTTTAACACTTTGTGCAAAGAAAACCACAAAAAAATAATTAACTTGCTGTTTTATTTGAAATGTGGTAAAAAAAAACCAAAAAAAACCCACAACCCCAGAGGAGATAAATGAGAAAATCAAGACATTTTCACAGCTACAGTAACAAAATGATCTTTAAACATCAGTGGCTGATTAGCAGCACCTGCTGTAAGTTCTTGGTGGAGAATAGAAAAACAATCACGCTCGACTTAGAGTAAAGACATACATTTTATGATGAACAGAAAGAGATGAGACAAAAGTCTAATAATAATAATGAATAATGACATTTGAAGCATGTTTTTTTAATCAGCGACATTAACTAATAATAAAGGACTGAGTACCGACAAAGGAAATTAAGGCTAGCTTTGAATCATGAATGGATAATACAGGCATTATTATTTTAGTGACATATAAAACTAGAGACAGAATAGAGGTAATCTGTGACTGCTTCACTCTTGTTTCTCTGTTTCTAAATTGTGTTTAGTATATATAAAATTGATGGTATGGTTTATATATAGTCATTTTTAAACACCACTGAAGGATACTATTGAAATTACTTGAGTTAATGAATTTTGGAAAACTGTAAGACAGCTTGACCTTTACACGAGTTACAAAAGAAATTAAAATAAAACAGCTTGGTGCTGGAGAGATTTCACATGTTTGCATTTCGCACCATGTGGTCTAATAAGGCAAAGTATTTGCTCAAATACTGATTGGATAACTCTTTTCTACACAGCATCATATTAGTTAGCATTCTGGAAACAACTCCAACAGTTTGTTAATTGGTCTGGCTGTCAGTCTCATTATTTCCAAATTAATGGCATTCAGCAAAAAGACAGAAAAGATGGAGAGATTCAGGCTGACTTCTTAAAAAAAATGGGGAACTCACTTAGGGAGAATTTGACAACCTTGAGGCTTTAGGATTGATTCAGTTTATTATTAAAACTGATTTATGGAAGGAAGTGTAATGTTTCATATAGTAAAATTCAAAGAGAAAAAAATAGTCTTTGAAGCAACCGACAGCACACTGTTACCTTAATCTAGCTTAAATACCACGGACAAGCTTGGCTCACGTAACTCTTGTATATTTCCCAGTATATTAAACTAATTCTTTCAAATTTATGTTTAAGCAGTTTGCACAGAAAACATACGTCTGCTCTTTGTGGTGTAAAGAGTAAAGAGTTTCCACGGACACGTATCCTTCATCCATTGCCACTTCTGTGAAAAGACTAGTTCAGATTTAGCAACACACACAGCAATATGTGGAAAATATCTGAAGCAGGACAGCATGACTGAGTGATCATGACACACCCATAGTCCTAATAACTGCAGCATTTGTGGAGCCATCATTTCAGATATGCTAATATGGCCTTTTGCTAGAAGAGATGAGGAAATACAAAGAGGTAAATCAGCGAGAAACCTCTTAAATTGAGTCTAAATGCCAGTGTGAAAAACTCACACTGCAGGATTCATATTTTTACTGTGCTGGAAGAGCCAAGGTTGGTTTATTCCAGGAAACTGGTTTCAGAAACTCTTACTGTTCTTTCCCCCTAACCTTTTAATCTTTTACTCCTTCATTCATATCTTAGTCTCTTTCAAAAAAATTGACTTTGTGACAGCCTGACAGTGCAATCACTGCTGCTTTTCACAGTTATTCATTTTGTTTCAGCTTGAGCTGAGCGACTGGCTGCAAATCCTCTAGTTATTTACAGAATTGCTCTCCAGAGCTGATAACATTACCACTGGACTAAGCTGTCCTATTAGACATGAGCGGCTCTGTTGTCTCACAGTGTGTTTGCAGTGTCAACATAACAGTACAAGTCCTTGCTTGACCTCATCAATACAACACGGACAGAGGCCCTGCGATGTGGCTCATCACTGAAGCTGCCCTGCAGTCGGAACAGCATGCAGTGAAGAGAACTGTCTCAGTTTTTATTACGATGATAAATATTTACGCTGGATATACAGAAAATACTTTCTGAGTCTTTTCTTAGTACGCTGATGCTATAGCAACAGAAACAGACCCTTCCCACATTATTTGGCTTGGGAATTGATTTATTTTTTAATTTTTTGTCATGCACATTAGGACACAATCTGTGCTTTTTTCGGTGTATGCACCATTATTCTTCTTGACACTGCTGTCCTTTCTTTCTTGCAGAGCTGCAACTAAAGACGCAACTGTTCAGCACTTGAAAAGGAACATCCCGATTCTGTGATTATATCTGATCAAATCAAATGGGAATATGTGCCGCTGTGTATTCAGTGGTTCGCAGCACAGCTTGCAGATGTCTTCAAGCGCCATTATCATTTGTTGTAAAGTTTCCCCTTAAAACAGAACCCAAAGTAGAAACTGTTATGAAAGCTTTATACTGGACCTTGTTTGAGTTCTATAGCATATTGTCCAATTTTTGTGAGCAAAGACAAAAATGTCAAATACAACCAGTATGTAATGCTGAAAACCTATTACAATGAGAGAAAACTGACAACTAAGGCTTATGTAAATGACTTCATGTTGTATAAGCGTAAGCAGACAGCATTATGACGCCCATTATTCTTTAAATAATGAGTACATTGTAAGTGGACATGCATTCAATTAACTTTTGGAGGACTTGTCAAACTTATAAGCTAAAATCATTTATTTTAATGAATGGCTGTGGTTCATTAGAATTGCTCCCATTGACAGTGTAACTCCCACACATTTATTTAAATAAGCACACTTGCGGTCAGATTATAATATAGTGATTTACTGATAGAGCGGGACAATATTCCTGCTCTATCAAACATCAGATTATCACATTAGATGATAATGTCATCTAGCTGGAATGTGAAGATTTTCCAGAGCTGAACACCTTCACTAAAAAGAATAAGAGTAAGATACAGTAGTGTGTAAATTTCTTTCATTTCTTTGTGCAAGTAGGGAAGTCCGCGCAGTGATTATTGAAAAGTGTGCAAACATACATGGAAATACACATATAATGCAGTTTGTGCAATTCTAACAAGCTTGAAAACTGTTATTGTGGGCAATCGTGGCTCAAGAGTTGGGAGTTCGCCTTGTAATCGGAAGGTTGCCGGTTCGAGCCCCGGCTTGGACAGTCTCGGTCGTTGTGTCCTTGGGCAAGACACTTCACCCGTTGCCTACTGGTGGTGGTCAGAGGGCCCGGTGGCGCCAGTGTCCGGCAGCCTCGCCTCTGTCAGTGCGCCCCAGGGTGGCTGTGGCTACAATGTAGCTGCCATCACCAGTGTGTGAATGTGTGTGTGATGGGTGGATGACTGGATTGTAAAGCGCTTTGGGGTCCTTAGGGACTAGTAAAAGCGCTATATAAATAACAGGCCATTCCTAACACAGCTGAACTCTCTCAGGCAAGCTTTTTGCTTTTCTTTAGGCAGTCTTCAGGAATGTTTCTCCAGGATTCTTCATAGAACGTTGGCTACTTTTTGTTCCATTCTCAAGATGATCCCACGCTGCTTCACTAGTGTTACAGTGTGTTTTTCTATCCAGGCATGTTTTTAATGCATTGGTACTATGTCTGGGATCATTGCCATGCTGAGAAATAAGGTTGCTGCCAATCAGATGCTTTCCGTATAGTATTGCATGGTGGATCAAAATCTTATGGTATTTTTAATTGCATCAGTTTAGACAAGATTGAAAACTTTACTGGTTGCAATGCAACCTAAACCATGACAGAAACACCGTGTTTTACAGATGGCTGTAGACACTCACTGTTGTACCTCTCTCCTGACACCTTCCATACCAACAATGCTTTAAACCAAAAATGGCAAATTTGGATTCATCACTTAATTAGACCTGTTACCACCTATTTTCAGTCCAGTTTGGCATACCTCAGCCTTTCCTCCCTGTTTCCCTTCCTTAAGAATGGCTTCCTGACAGCTACCCGTCACTCAGACCATTTCTGATGAGGCTTCAGTGAACAGTAGAAGAATCAACTGAAATGATCAGATGCATCCTGCAGGTACAGAGTCAGGTCTTTGCTGGATTTCTTATTTTTTTGTCAATGGCATGCCTTTCAGATACCGTTCATCTGTTTTTAGGCCTGACACTTCTGTTTGGCTTATAGTTTTGGCTAATAGCTCTTTGTGCAAAAGTACTGTTTTATACCTGTGTTACCATTGGCATATGATGTTTGAGGGGTTTTTTTTGCAACAGACAGCAAGTAAAAAGTGCCTAAAGATACAATTCATTTTCTCCAAAGAAAAAAAACGTTGATCCTGGAGAACTATTGCTCAAGACTGCTTTAAAAAATTACAGTAAAACCTGGCTCCTTGTAAGCAAAATATAAAGAAATGAGGACCAGCTTAAGCCTTTTGCACAGTACTGTTTGTATGAAGCAAAGGCATGTTGGATCTACACATGATAATTGAATCAAAGAAGGATAATATGGTTAAACATCTACTAATATAAATATCACGTCTTGGGCCTGCCAATTTTTTTTGTTTGTTTGCTTTTAAATTCCCTTCATGACTTTTGATTTTTTTTTTTTTAAAGTTGGCTACACAGATTTGAGTTTTGATGTTATGACATAAATTTGATCATGTCATGATTAACCCATTAGAGCCCAGCACCATTTTTATTGTCAGCAAAACTATGGGAGAGTCAAAGTTGAAACTTTAACAGCAACTTTCCTCAGTGTGCAAAGGGGCGGTGGATCACCATTGGATCTTAGGGGTTGAAGTGGGAACTTCTGCTGTAGGAAGGAATCTCCATCCTTAAGTTGTTGCTAGATAAAATGTCATAAGTAAAAGCAGCAGGAATCGCAAAGATAAAACTTGAATTTGGACATGTCCATCACCTCAAGGATGGAGATTTTTCTACAATACCTGTAAGTGATAAGAGAATTTCCTTTTTCTCCCCTTGTGTTTTGGAATCGTTTTGAAAATCGCCTGCAAGATTTCTGCAGGCTTTCAAACCTCAGTGATTAAAGACTGATGCACACACTGTATTTTTAAAGTTCAGGCCTCTAAAACGAACTAAAGTACTCATCTCAAGCAATGTCTTGTCGTGTTATATGAAGCAGGTATCCAAAACTGTGCTAACATATAAAGTGCAGACTTATAAATATCACAGCTGCAGTTGTGACTTGTGAACACGAATGTGATGCTATAAAAGCCGTACTGTTCTGCAAAGTCTTTTGACAAGATATTGAAATGCAGCTGTCCTGCTTCGCTCCAACATAATTTTAATAATAACAGCTGAATTCAAGCAGTAAGAGTTTTGGGTATGCTGTCTCACGGTCACATTTGCATGGCTTACTGGGACATTTGTGTAGAACAGAGTCATCAGTAAGGTTTATGCTGTAACAAGTCAAAATGTCTGCTGTGAAAAATGTTCACTGTTGGGAAAGTCGGATGATAAGACCTCACTTGCAAATTTATCCCACAGGCGTTGGTGGAGACTGAACTTTTTTACTTGAGGTTTTTTTTTTTTTCATTTTTAAAAAACATCTCAGTCAACTGTCAAAACCAAAGCTGGGAAACAACTTTCTATGGCTCTGTGCACAGAAACATAAAAGCATGTTGAATAAGCATCACAAGCCCTGTAATATTTTTATGGGACACAAACGGCTCCAAAGAAAGAGCCGAATAACTAAATGCCTTGCTCAAATGCATAGTGGCTCTGGAGGGGAGGGGTACATAATAGTTTTCTCACCTCTGCACCTCCACTTTTCCACATGCATGCACTCACACATACATATACGACTCACTCAGTTCAGAGATGCTGCCCACTCTCGTGGCCAGTAAGCACTGTTCAATGGAGCGCAGTTCGGACTGACTGTAGGTGTTTCCCTCTCCACTCTTCCCAGCTCGTTGCTGCTGCTGGTCCCTTTGAAGAGTTAGACCCTCGGGTAGGCTGAGCACACCTGAGAGCGAGAGAAAAACAGATGAATATCACATGTGCATGTGGGACTCATGCTATAGCACAGGCAGGCGTGCACGCTCTAAAGGGATCATTTAAACTATGTATCGGACACAGTTTTTGTGTTTTTATTGTGGCTGCATTTTTAATGTTTACAGGTTTGATTTTTTTCACCAGTGGTATCTTCTATCTTTGTCATCTGTGCTTGGAGTCCCCCTGTGCAAAAACTGCTTTTTAGCAATTGTATATGCAGTACTATTTGTTTCTGGAGAAATGTCCCTGCTAAATACAATAAATATGCTGCGTTGTTTTCTCATATTCTTGAAGGATTAAAACTGGTAGATTCATTCTAAAATGTCATTAATATCTCATTTTCCTCCTATCATATAAATGTAAAGAACACAAAGGTTCAGGATATTAGAAACTGCGCGCATAATTATTTATATCCAGAGTGAGAGTTTGATTGTGAAAACAATGGAAGCAATACAATGTAGTATTTCTGCCTCCTAGCTACACCTGTCAGACACTTCTCCCAAAGGTAATAAGGTGTAATATTTAAAATGTGGTTTCATTATTCACAGCTCTTCCTCGCTCTGTGAGTGATGAGGCAGATTCTCCATTTCGCTCTGCTGACAGTTTCTGATTCCTCTGCAGCTTTGTGCTGCAGCCTTCTCAATGTTCGCAGGGTGTCAACTTATGAAATGACTAAAGGCTGCGACTCTCTGCTTAGCCCTCTAATCACTGATGGAAAATTAGCTTTGGTTTTAATGTCTATTAGAATATTCTTCCAAGTTAAATGCACATGTACATGTGGCACTCATTATTCTGTTGTGCAGGAAGCAGGCAGCTACTTATGAAGTGATTCTTTTTACTTTCACAAGGCAGGAAAAAATGCATGCAAAAGGTCGACATAAATAGTTTTTGTAATAGTTTTTTTTACACACTGACTGGACAATCTAAATGATCATCAAATTAATGCACTGTTCATGGAATATTACTTTTTGAAAAATGTTTTCTAACATATGAGCGCATGTTCACTTACATTTGCAAATAGAAAGATCAAGTGTAGCACTACTAACACCTAGAGATAAAAAAAAACAAACCAAACAGCCATAATAATCAACTCAAAGAAGTTCTTTAAATGTGCTGGTTTATAAAAAGATACTTGTAATCGTAGTGTCTGTAGGTTCTCGGTCATTCAGGTCATGGTGAGCTAAGGAGCTTGGAAAAAAAAGCGACTGAACTTCCTTAAGTTTCTTCAAGATGTTTCAGCTCTCATCTGAGGAAATACCTGTAATCATACATTATTTATGATTGTGGTTCACTGTGCATTATACAAGGAATAAAAAATCCTGGTGCAAAAACAGTCAATAAGTCACAGTTGCTTATCCTGTAAACCTAGAGAGCAGCAGTCTTGGCACTATCTAATCTATATCTTTGTAAAACCAGAGAGCTACTGTCAGCCTGAGGGACAAGATGTCATCATCTGCTGCACCAGTGTCAGGTGGTCTTACTCGCTTCCATTTTCAGTCAGAGTCCAACGTGAACCAGCAAGACAGAGTATAAAGAAAAGAAACTTACTTTCTGTTTCTGCATAAGGAACCTGTCTACAGGGATTTCTTTAAAACACCTTTGTTATTGCTTTTATTGCTCACAATGTGCCTTCTTTGACATGCGGTTGTGCAAACTGCTGGAAATCCATCTTAAACCATTTAAACCAGCAGGAGGGATACCCTGGCACCTTCCAGCCTCTTACTTTCCTTTCAAACAATTATACATCAGAGTAAATAGCCCATTCAGTGTGCCTACAGGACTCATGACCTACTTCCTTTGATGTGCCCAGACTAAAGGCATCCAGTTGTGATCTAGCACAATAATGCACTACACATACAACAATTATAATAAAATGATTTCAAAAAAGCCTAATTCATTTTAAACCAGTAAATCTTTCATTATTAATTTTATTTATTTATTTGTTCATCTTGTGAAGATGAATAGAAAAGGCTAAAGAATTCAATTTGATACTTTTTGTCAAAAAAGTTATGATAATGATAAACATACATAACATATTATTTATATATCTTTTTTCTCTAAAAAAGAATACAGCTTTTTAAAGGCAAGTTACTTAACACCTACTTACCATCAGTATTAGGTTTACTACACCAAAAATAGTTTGTAGTAATAAATAAATCTGGTATTACAGAAATATTACAACTACATTTTCTTCTTGAAATTCACAACTTTGGATGGCTGTAAATTAGTCTCCACAGTAAAGTTATACAAAAGTTCTGAAATAAACCACAAGTGATGCAGCCAATTTATCATCAAGCCAGCAAAAATAACAGGAACTGTACAATATTTGTACAAAATATTACAGCAACCTGTTTATTATACCAAAGTGGTCACCATATCATCCCCATAGCACAGTGATGGAAAAATATATGTTTATGGATGCAGTAGGCTTTGGTCCATTGACAGTCTTTCATTTACTTCTAAATAAATAAATCTTCTCAGGTCGTAAATAACCCTTTATGGCATAACTTCCTATTATTCTTTCCATCCATCCATCCATCCATCCATCCATCCATCCATCCATCCATCCATCCATCCATCCATCCATCCATCCATCCATCCATCCGTCTTCTTAAACATATTTGTAATTCAGTGTTGCAGCAAGGGCATAGCCTATTCCAGCTGTCGTTGGTCAAGAGGTGCGGTACACCCTGGACTGGTTGCAGTATTACTGCTTTATCACACATATCTATTGTTAGATATTCACCAACAAAAGAAACAAACTTTTAGTGAATGTCACGCAGAAAACTCTGAAATGGTATTATCATGGCTGCTCTGACTGTATTGTTTACAGTACATTCATCACAGCAGAACAAGTGTTTGTCAGACTTTGTCTCCGTGATAAGTTGCCAACTAGTTTGTAAAAGTAAATAAGCAATGAGATCCATCATTCTGGCTTTTTTAACTTGTGTATAAACATAGAAGTAAAAAAAAAATCTAACAAACATACATTACATTTGATCTTTCAACTGTCATGCTCCTTAATCTCGTTCAGGGAAATAGCAGAACCAGCTGACAGTGATGGTGGTTGCTCTGAGTATAGACTGAGGCAAGGTGACTCACTGGCTCTTTGCCTCCTAATGCAAGGCACTGTCTAACCTCAGGCAGGCACTGATGGAGCTCTTACATGCCAGGCAGCCACTGCGGCTGCTCTCTCTGTGTCTATGTTTGCGTGAGTATCTTCCTCCAGATGTCACTCTGTCTTTACACTTTGAATCTCTTGGGAAATGCTCTCAGGTTTTTCAATTACCTCACATAATGTTTTAAGTTTATTATTGCGCATAATCATAAAGAAATAATAGTTGGCAACCACGCTAGGTTATATAATACTGAGATATCCTATCGGGCACCTGCCTCTCTTTAAGTGGGCCGGTTGCGTTTGCCATATGGCAGCTATTCAGTGTTGCTGAAGAGATGAGGCTGGATGATCCTCCAGGCAAGACAGTGTCAACGAAGAAGAAGTAACGCGTGCAGGAGTTCCCATTAAGATGTCACAGAATGCACCTTAGTCATATTCAGTGATAGACAGCTGCATAGACCCACTGCACGGTCCAATGTATTTCATGTTTGCCACTAAAATATATTGAGATGAGACATGTGTTACAAACTCTTAATTCACAGTTTTTTTGTGGGTTTTTTTTTAGATTTTACAAGACTAACTTTTGGATAGATGTGTACTATTGCACTCCTGCCTGGTGAATTCATATTTTTTTCATAGTCTGGGTTAAAATAAATCTTTATGCAATAATAAACACATTTTAATCTTCCCAGTGAAATGGACTGGCAACTTGCACTTCTCACCCAGTGACAACTTGGATGCGCTCCAACCACAAATCCTTTAAATTCACAGAAATGTACAAGCATGAAACTTTAGTCTTCTTTTCTTAATGTTTCAGCTAGAAGGATTTCCCCAAAATATCACTAAATGTTACCTAAACTGTGAGTCTGTATATGAATTTAAAAAAACTGCAATGTTTGTTGATTTGATTAGCAGTAGTGGAAGGAGTAGTAGTAGTGGTAGTAGCAGTGGTAGTAGTAGTAGTATGGATCTGCTGACTCTTCTCAGGGTTGACTAGAGCAGTGGGGCAGGAATGCTGACCTCGATGTGGCTCCTACCCTGCATTTAAAATCTATTTTGGAGGGACGCACAGGGAAGTGCACTTCTCTAAACATATTTTAGCTCTGCAGGAACGCTGGCTTCAGTTTTTTACATGCAGATAAGGTACAGAGAAAGCAGAGTGGGGCTTTGTTTTAGAAAAAAAGCGCTTTAAGCAATGCAAATGTACAAGATGATCTGACCTATTATTTAAATAGCAGAGTGAGAAAAAGAAAGCAGAAGGGCAGACAGTCAAAAAAATCATACAGGCCTGACATAAACACTCTTTTTGGCTGTAAAGGGTTAATAATGTTGTTACTGTACATGGATCACAGTAGTGCTGCCCCACGCTAGGCTCCATGACTGTTCTGCCAGGCCAGATGGCCACCATATGTATACTGAGCAAGTGATCATAGAGGGAGACATAGCACGACAGAAAGCAGAAAACAGAGCGGTGAAATGTGCTAAAATTCCTTTCTTACTCCTGAAGGCTGCCATCAAGAGTAATTGAACTGCAGAAAGAAAAGGGGCGTAAATATAAAGCTAGTATTTTTTTTTATTACAGACCAGGTATGCATGGGTAGACTGTAAATCTCCAGAGGTATGGTTTTGGCTTGGGTTCTCAGGTAACCACAGTATGGTCTGAGGTAGCCACAAGCTTTCAATTTTTTAGACCTGTGCTCACCACACGGGTGTGAAGGAGTTCTGCGAAAAAGTAAATGTACCCTTCAAAATGTCTGGTAAAATTAGGAAACTGGCAGAGGGAACCACGCACACACACATACATTCACACAAATGCTCATTTACAGGAGCTGCAAACAAGTTAATAACAAGTC